CCTTTGTAAACCTGCTCTAAAGAGAAGATCAAAAATTAATTGACACAGAGGTCTATTTCATAGGATCTCTCAGCTTTAGCACACATCAGCACCACCTGGAGAGATTATTAGATGGTTGGGCTCTACTCCCAGAGTCTCTTTATTCAGTGGGTCTGGTATAGAGCCTGAGAATTTATATTTCTTTTTAAATTCTCCAGTGATGCTGATGCTGCAGGTCCAGGGATCATACTTGGAGAACCACTGGTCTATATCATAGACTTTGAGGACATTAAAGCTGGAGAAGACCTTAAGGACGATAACGGCTCGTCTTCCATTTTTACAAATCAGTAGTGAATTGATAACTGGGCCAGGACTATGACCCAGGCTTCTAATTTACCAGGCTGATGATTGAGGGCAATCTCAAGTGTTATTTCCCCTAAGGCATTTGCGTTTTAATGAGGGTCCAAACTCTAAGCTATAAGGATGATGCTGGTGATGATTATCATGATCATGAGGACAGTGTCTTATTGTTTGAGTTCCTTCAATGCATCAGACACCTTCCATGCTGTCTGTCCCTGTGATGAGCCTGTGAGGTGGGCTTGCTGTTCCTGCCTTCTAGATGAGGTCATGCAGGCTTAGAATTTCAAGTGGCTGGCCAAGGACGCTAGGGGAAGGCCTGGTCTGTCCATGTCTGGACCCTTGTTCTCACTGACATACCACACCTTGCTCCGTGTGAAATGGAGTTGAAGATTCTATAAAGGAAGTTAAGGAATCAAAGAGAAGATACTATAAGAGTAAGGACATTGGTGGCCTGAGGAATTACGTGCCATTCATTCTCTGTACCCCTTGCTGTGCTCCTCACGATTGACTATGTTATTCTAGGATACAGGAATACCAGGATGGGACAGACAATCACTGCAGACATCTTGCAGGCCTAATGCCTGGCCATCAGGAGCCATTTTATGCTGCTGTAGTCTCAGGACATTTCCCTTATCCCCGTTTCTCATTCAGGTAATGGGCAGCCTCCTTGGGACCACCATGACAAACCTACAGCATTGCCCTCATACTTGTGTTCATGTCCATAGACACACACACGCGCGCACACACACACACACAGGACATCCCTGTACCAGATGGCCTTGTCGCCTCTTTTGTTGTGTTATCATCCAGCTCCTTCCTGTTCATGCTGGTCTGAAGCCAGGAGCCAAATTGACTGTGTGCCCCATGGACACTTCAGAAGAGCAGGCATAATGCTAATTGTGGGAATATTCAATTGCCATCTCCCCTCCCATGGAGCCTCCCTGGTTTGCCTGCTTCTGCTGGTCCAGGGGCTGATCCAGGCAAACGGTCATTATCTCTCATTCCTTGGGTGGGATGTTTCCTTACAGTCTCCTGAGGTTGACTTGTGAACACTTCTGAGAGTCCTACTGATTGTCTGCCCTACATTTGCACGTCATTTTGGACAACCTATCCGTTGTTTTGACCAGGAGAGGTAGGCTCCTTCCCAGCTGATGGTCTATTTATCTTAAACCCTTTGTGGTTCTCCAGGCACTTGGTACCTGAGTTCACTTCTCTGCTCCTTCTCTGTGGGCTGTAACACACACACACACACACACACACACACAGAGGCATGCCCTCACACACACACACACACACACCACATGCTCCCACAGAGCATGTTGATGACTTGGTCAAGGTGAAGGAATGAGTGGCAGGGGGGCAGTGGGTGGGAGGAAGGATGTTCCCTTAAGAGCTGACAGATTGGCCTCCTGAATCGAGCTGAGGACTGCAGAAAGGAGGAGCCAGAGTTTGCACTGAGCCCTCACTATCGCCAGGCCTGGTGCATTGTGCCCTGTAATGTCAACTCGGAGTAGTCCTCTGGGAAGCAATTATTAGTCCCCAAGATTGTAGGTTCCCTGCAGAGCTGGGATGTGGCCCTGGGTTTGTCTATGTCTAGAAATCTACTCTTTTCACTAAACTGTGCTCAAGGAAGGAGGCCGAATCACTAAAATTCCCCCTTGGACAGCTGCAGTCACAGAAGAAATGCTTGCAGAGCTACAGAAAATATAGGCAACACAGCAGATCAAAAGACACCATTAGAAGTCACCTGTGATGACATCACCCCAAGATGACCATTGTTGCTATTTGGTGCTTGGTTTCGATTTGTCATAAATATAAAAACATTATTTTTACATGATGATTTAAAAAGGATACCATGATGCAAATACTGTAGTGTAACAGATTCTTTTTCACTAACCACCATAAAACTGGTTGTCATTTATTTAGCATCTACTAGATGCCAAGCAAGGCCCTAAGCACATCACATTTATTGAGGGGTTTAATCCTCATCGGAACTCTGTGAGGTATGGACCATTTTGCATCCAGGAGAACCAAGGCCCAGAGATGTTAAGCAACTTGCCTGCACTCACACAGCCAGCAAGCGGCGGAGCTAGGATTCAGATCGATACAGTTGGAATCGAGAACCCAAGCTGGTCCTTGTTTACACCACGGACATTCGTTTCCCTTAGCAACCAATGCTCTCTTAAAACTCCATAGTAATGGTAATGTAATATTCCATCATTTGATACTATCATTTACCCAGTTGATTCTCAAGTGTTGAATATTTAGATTATTTCCAATGCTTGCTAGTTTAAACAGTGTTACTCTGAAAATCTTTGTACAAACATATTTTCAGAAACTGTATAATTCCTTAGGATAAATCCCTAGGGGTGCAATTGCTGCGTATGCACATTTTAAAAGTGTTAGAATCTCCCCACCAAGTTGCCATTCCAGAAATATCATGCCAGCCTACATGCCTACCAGCAGACTGTAAAATTGTCCTTTTCTCCACAGATGGTCTGGGTTTTCGCTGTGCATCTTATGGGTTGGTACAGGTATGGGTATTAGCCAGGGTTCAGGCTGTGAGTGACAAACCATTGCCAGTTTGTGAACGTGACCATAGGAGCTAAGACTTGGGACCCGTGAGAGGGCCAGGCTCTGCTTTGTTGGGGTGAGAGGTGGATGTAAGGAGAGGCACTGGGCATGCCCCTGGATGGTGAACGCCCATGAGGATGCGTCAGGTGTCCAAGGAGTCCCCGATATCCTGACAGCCCCATCCAGAGACAGACAGTGTGGGTCCCTGTGACATCCATCTCACAGAGTTTCAGTGGTTCCACAAGCCACCTCTGTTTGCAAAGCTGGAGAAGCACAGCTCCGAGGGCTCTGTCACCAGCAACATTGCCCTGGGAAGGGCTCAGCGGGCGAGGACACACAGGGAGCAATTTCCTCAGCCCTCCTCTTCCCAAGTCCAAACGGGACAGAGGGGAGAACCTGGGCTTCTTTGGCGCCAGCACGACAGGGACCTCACCTTGACCTGGCTCTGCCATTTACGATCTGGGTTTGTTTGGACCAAGTCACTTTCTTTCTCTGAATCTCAGTTTCTTTGTCTGTAGAAGGGGATTAACGTTGGGCCCTTCACAGTTATACCAGGGATGGAAAAGGAATTGGGTTTCTGAGGGTCCTAGCACCCAGCAGGGACTCTCCCCTCCCCTGTCCCTGGCTCTGCAGACACCTGATTTCCTTTCCGATAACATCTATGTTTGATGTTTGCAGTACCAGCATTCTTATTTGGGGGAACAACATGGTGGCTTGGCCCTTTCCAAAAGCAGTTAGAATGGTGTAGAAGCTCATAATGAAGTTCTTGCCTCCAAGGCTGCTGTATCTGAAAGCTGGTGCTCCTGGTGAGTTCTGGGAAGGACAGAATTAGTGGTGCAATGAAAAGCAATGCAATCTCATTTTATTATCAGTGTGGAGCAATGGAGAGTGAGTCGTCCAATATCCCAGCTCACTCTTGGCTTTGTTTGTGGTGCCCCAACCTTTCTCCAGCCATAGATGCTGATCCCATTCCCCCAAATGTTGGGGAGGGTGCTCTAAGCGCTGGGGCCAGGCACCTCATGTTTCCATCCTTTTCCATTCCGTAGTGTTCCAGCGTGTGTGCAATGGCGCAGAGTGGACTTCAGGGAAGGACTTGGATCCTGTTTGCCAAGAGGCTTGCAGGGAGATAGGTCAGGGGTGGCCAGTCTACCTGCTGCTATCCTGACATCCTGGGGATGGAGATCCAGAGGCCTTTGACTTTCTCTAATATGGAAGCTGTTCTTTTCTTCCTGTCCCTGAGTCTTCATATCTTATTATTTTATGTCTGAATCTAGTGCCTTTCCTTTTCCTTTTAGGGAAAGGAGAAAATGAAACAAAGCAAAATGTTTAGATGCAGCCCAGGGAAATAAGGGTTGTATTTGGGTAATGTCTGGGAAATTGGAGAGCTCTGCCAGGCCTCTGTGTTCTGTTGATGGGAAGGACACACAGGGGAACAGAGATCAGACTATGTGGTGTGTGATAACAGAGACTGTGTCACAGGATTAAAGAAGAATCTTTAAGCAACTTGTCCTAAGAATCACTAATACCACTCCATTATGTAATAATTCTATCCATCTTTTGGCATATTACATTTCACATGTCTACAGAACAGTAATAATACGATATCCATCTTATGGCTTTCCACTACTTTGCTTTTGTATATATATGCTTCTGCATTTACATATATTTCTGTATATACATATATTTCTGTATATATGTGTACACACACACACACATGCACACGCACGCACACACACCAAGCTTTGTGGGTAGGCAGCACAGAATAAGAAGGTGGATAGGGGCCCATGGAAAACTGTTTCTGACCACAAGAGGGAGAAGCATATCTTAGAATTTTGGAGGGGCTGTGTGGAGCTCATTCTACATGGGGACAAGAGGGTCTATATCAGGGGACATAACCATGATGGATGGGGTGTTTGGGCTCCTTATAGCTGGCATCTGAAATGTTCCTGAGAACACAGCCAGACCGAAGAAGGCTTCTGTGTCCTATAGGGTCTGTGACCCACCAGGAAGATGGGGAGACATCTGCAAGGTCCAGAAAGTTTCCCTGGGAAGCCTAGGGAAGGTTATGGTGCTGCATTTTACCCAATATGGGGCTAAGAGGAGGATGTAGGAAGCTCTGGGATGCTGAGGAAGTGAGGCAGGGGTGTGGGGAAGGGAGGTTATTTCATAAAGACGGAGATGCCACTGCAGCTGGAGCTTCTGTATTGGCCCACATGCAAGATGGGGCACATCGGCCTCTCCAGGTCTCCCTGTTCGGGCACTGTCTGGTAGATTCGGGACCAGCCACATGCTTCTTGAAGCAGACATAGGAAATATAATGGTACATTTAGTCCCTGTTTACAAATGGGGAGATTGGATGTCTCGGGTCACTCAGCAGCTCAAGAAAGAGAACCACTGTCCCCTCTTTTCTTGACTGCCTTCCTGGTTAGCAGGGGTTTGCAGCTGAGACATCGTTAGCATCTTCTCAGCTTAGGCCAGTGAGACGCTAAATGCTTCCTTCATGCAACTGCACTCACCTGTCACTGAGCCCAAAATGGAGCCACCCACGCTTGTGGCTTGAAGGAAGCAAAGTGCCCCCATAGAATGGCCATGCCAGGCTCTTGTCAGAGTCAGTTTCCACTCAGTTGAGTCCAGCTTATTTCCTTTTCCTTCTTGGAACATCACTTGAAAGGTAGAAACGAACCTGATCTTAATTCTTCCTTCAACATGACATGCCCTTTTGAAATCGTACAAATAACAATGTCTGATTGTCATGTTGAATTGCAAGCATGGATGTGAAATGCTCCAAAGTCAGACCAAAGCAAAATATTAGGTCGGAAGTCAACATTTTGCTGAGGAACTCGGCTACAAAGAGTTTGAAAATTTATATCTTTTCATGAGAAAACTTGTTTGCCATCAGGAAAAGATTTCAAAGACTGTTATATTCCCATGCGGAGGGAGAGAGATGAGTGTAATTTTGCAACCAGGGTCAAAGTCCTTTAGGGACTTCTGAAACAGGCTTGGCCAAGGAATGAGGCTTTGATGTCATATTCGGATTGCTCCCTGAGGTGAGAGTCCACGGGTGGCATGGGTGCGTGGGTCAATTCTTACAAGCTCCTTGGGCAAAACCGTGTGACTGGCTAGGAGCAGCCTCTTCCTGCCAGGGGGATGCCACACTCTACCCACAAATCCTTTTGATGGAAAACTTTTGAAGAGAAAATGAGCCGTTTGGGCCCATGGGCACTTTGGGTCCTGAAAGAAGTAAAATGTTGACTACCTTCATCTAAGCAACTATGGCACTCTGTGGAAAGTCACAGTGAACATGAAGACTGAGGAGAGATCAGAGAGAGAGATCAGAAGAGAAGATGCGAGAGATCAGAACAATGCCCATGAAGACATGGCAAAGCTTCTACCTTGCCATCGTGGCCTCATGTCCACCATGCTTTAGCCCTGCCACCAAGCCCAGACCCAGGCCTTCCAGCACCTAGTGTGAGCTGTGGGAGGGGGGAAGAGTGGCAAAGAAGCATCTGTGTGCTCACTATACAATTAAAACCAGGCACTTGGCTACATTAAGAACATTATGCTCTATTTTAAGCCGGTCAAGTGACAATGTCTAGTTTGCATCTCCTTCCAAGAAGCAAAGCAGCTCACCTTTCTTCTGAGTGCCCAAACTCCAGGCTAAGTCAGAATTAAGGCTCAGGATAAAATAGAAGGTCTGCTGTGGATGGGTGTGATGGAGTGGGACTTCAGTGTGATCACGGGCAGATTCCTGATGGGATAATCTGCAGCCATTGCATTGATATAGAAACCTGCTCCTGTGTGTAAGGGTGTGTATGTGTGTGCTCGTGCACTCCCGCATACATGTATGCTTGTGTGCCTTTGTGTCTGCACATGCATGCATATATGTGTGCATATAAAAATGTGTGTATGCATGTGTGTATGTGTACATGTTTGTATGCATGGAGACACTCTTGTGTGGACAGTGAAAGGCGAGTGGCAGAAACGCAGCCTGGCACTGTAATAATCAGGACCCTGTCCTTGATGGGTTCTTCCCTGTGCATAGCAAGTTTGTGACTTCATTATTATTAAGTCATGGCCACTCGGGGTCACTAAACCTAGGGCCACCTTCCACATTCATCCTAAGCAGGGTTCAGTTGGGTTCTAAGTAGAAATACTAAATGGGGACTATTATGCTCTCCTCCCCAAATCTCTGATCAGAAAACCTCAATTCTCCGGGCCAGCCTTTCTGCACTTTCCAGGGTGAGCCTGGTAATCTGAGAACTAGGTCCCTGCCACTGTGAGCAGGAGGCTAGCTGGAGAGCCCACCTGCCGCTCTCCTTCCCCACCTCTCTGTGTGACGGGAGCTGCCCTGGAGCCTACTGGAGGCGGCATCGTGGCCTTTTACGTCTAAGCACAGTGGGTGGCATCAGCCGGCGGGGGGAATTTGTCACCAGAAAATAAGAGGAGAGCTTGCGGTGCTGGCTGGCAGGCAGGGGGCCATGGAGGAGGGTCCTGCACATCCCACCATTGCAGTACTCACAGCCGAAAACTGATGCAGACGTGCCTGACTTCATGGTGCTTTTGGTCTTTCAGGCAAAGAAGGGGAACTACGCCTTTCTGTGGGATGTGGCGGTGGTGGAGTACGCAGCCCTAACGGACGACGACTGCTCTGTGACTGTCATTGGCAATAGCGTGAGCAGCAAGGGCTACGGCATCGCCCTACAACATGGCAGCCCCTACAGGGACCTTTTCTCCCAGAGGTAAGCACCACCAGCCGGGTTGGGGGAGGTTGGCTTGGAGGATAGCCTTCTTTTAGGTGACGAGAGCCCACACAAACTTGTTTCTTCGTCACGTCTCCTCAGCCCTGACTGTGTGCCAGCATGCACAGCTCCCCCCACCGCATCTAGTCCCGCGCCAGCCCGGGGTAAAGAAGAGCAAGTATGTGGTCCCTTCCCATGAAGGTGCACAGTCTCGGTAGGAGCTGTGACGTGGGCAGGGGAGCTGGCATGGGGCAGTTGGTACAATGGAGAGGATTTTCTAGAGGTGGAGGAGGGCAGAGGAAAGCAGCTGACCAGCCTCCCACCCCCTTGCCCCGGCAGGCCAGGGGGCACTTTCCAGAGGAAGTGACACCTGAGGCCTAAAGGATGAGTAGGAGTTAGCCAGATAGGCCCAGTTATTGAAAACTAAGTGAATAATTAATTGGATCTAACAAGGACCCGATAAGTACTTATTATTGTAAGTAATAGAACTTCTGACATTGGCTTTTGTGGGAAAAGTCAATGTGGGAAGAGTCAATGTGGAGTCTTGAAAAGAAGTGTGGTCAGAGAAGCTGACCCTGTCGTCATGGGCACATGGGCTGAGGAGGCCGATGCTATCTGCTGGGGCAGGCAAGAGACCTGCCTTCCACTGCAGAGTAGACAGTGGCTCATGACCTGCCTCCTCCTCATCCTCCCCAGATCAGCTTCCTGTTAATTAATACTAGCAAATGGTAGGTGTAGGGTCTGGGGAAGAGGGGAGGAGGGCTGTATAGGGGTGGGTATTCTAGCCTAAGCAAAGGTACATGGATACCCTCCACTAGAAATGTGTCTAGTGTGTATTGGCCTTTTTAGTTTCCCATGTAATTTGCTGGTGGGAGTCCATCCCTGGTTGAGCCCATTCTTCTCAGGATACTGGGGCATTATCCAGTTTCCAAGTGCGCAGTCTGAATACCTGGCCAACTTCCTTATGAAAAATAGTCTGTCATCACCACCCCACTGTTTCTGCCAGAGAAACTTACCTTAGTCTTTGACTAGGTGTCTCGGCCTTACCAGATAAGGTAGAAGTGAGGAGCGTGGGTTAGCTCAGTGGCCTTTTCCCAGTAGCCAGCCTGCTACCTGGGGCTCCCCTTCCCAAGGACGTCTGTGCCTTAGGCCCACCACTCACACATGTCTGTGAGGTGACATCCTGGTGAGTGAAGACGGCAGGACTGAGGAGCCCAGAGAGGAATCCCTAAGGACAGGCTCTGCCTTGGTCCACCAAAATCCAAAATGGCAGAAGTGTCCAAGTGAAAAAGCTGGCATGGTACCCAGGCTTAGGGGCAATACCAGTTGCCTGGTAAACACAGGCATCCCATCAGTAAGGATAATCCATTTGGGGGGTCGAGAGTGGTTAGAGAAACTTCGTTCAAGTTTTCTCATGAAAAGATATAAATTTTCAGTGGCTTGTTTGCAAAACTCAGAAAAGGGGTAGAACTAATTAAGTTAAATGAGGCTTTTGGTTTTCTTTTCTAGAATTTAATCAAGTATACATTCTGTGCCTCCCTTTGCTCCCTGGAGCAGAGAGACGACCAGGGAGAAGCAGGGGGAGAGTTTTATCAACTGTTCCAATTAAAAGCATGAGGAAGGAATGACTTCTCTCCAGGATGTGTAATATATTGGTGTTCTTGAGGTGTACCCCCAGTTGGTTTTCTGAGATGAGAAGCTCAGGGCATTCCACACACCATCAACCTGTGAGCACCTTTCTGGAACAGATGGTGGAGCTGGTGGGGCCAATGCAGCAGCAGCACTAATGTACCCCAAAACAGCAGTCGTGGAAGCACAGGGTCCCCAGTGAGGGAAGCTTAGGGTCCCCACATACTTGGACTGTCCAGAGATCTCCCAAAGTCCGCTGACGTGATTGTTGGCACACTGGAGAGAGGAAGGAGCTTGCTTCCCAGCTGGATTGTTCAGGGGGTCAGGGCAATAGCAGGCTCAAACCAGATCGGGGGAAACCTAAGGATATTCAACCCAGAGCAGGAGATGAGCGGGAAGAGGGTGGTTGCTCACTTTCAATGTTGTAGGGCTTGCTGGGTGCAGAAGTAATCCCATGTCCTTTGTGTGGCCCTAGAGGGCAGTGGACCAGGACCAGTGTGGGGGTGTGGGGTCCCAAAATTCAGGCTTGCCCTGGAACAGGCCTGTTCATTATCTATCAATTTGCTGACCCTGAGGTTCTACTCAAAATTTCTCACAATAGAGACTCTGTTGGCTGCTCCCCAACCTGAGGAGTGACCATAAACAGAAGTGCCTAGTCCAATTTCCTGGTTATTCTGGTTATTACTCTTAGCTTTCATGAGAAGGCTGTGTGCTCTATGACTCTAAGTAAATGTCCCCAGTGGGCTGTGCCGGTCTCCAGAATTATCATCAGCTGGCTCTATGTTGCAGCCCCTCTTGAGCTGGAAGTATCCCCCCTCCCCCACCTGGGCAGATGGGTCTCTACTTGGAGGGAACACTCAGACCTTGGGTTGCCAACTTACTGTGGCCAGTGGTTCTTTCAGAGGCTCCGTTGTATGGTGCATACAGAACCGTGAGCTGGCCCTAGGTGGGGCATGCCTGAGAGCAAGAAGGGGGCAGATCCAGGAAGTAATGCTCCATGCCATTTACAGAAAAAAGGTCTTACATAAATAGATCCCAGTCTTATCTGGAACTGCTGTGACTTTCTTTCCCTTAGTCCTGGGAATTAAGCTATTTCCTTGAATACAGATACGTTCCCTTGCTTTGGCAGAGGACAGGATCTATAGGCTACACCTTATAAGTGTGTATGATAGGGGTTGAGTGCTATAGCCTGTTTGTGGACCATGGCCTGCAGAGCAGGCATTCAATAAATGTTTAACAACTTAATAGCCATTTATGGAGCACCTACTGTGTAGTAAGCTCCACAACTATTGACCAAAGGAAAGCACCTGCAATTATATCTGTCTGGGAAAATAGAACGACTGGCTTCAGGAAGTGGCTATTATCTACTCCAGCTTATTCATAAGCAGGAGTGTAGATTATTCTGGTGTGCATTAGTTTAGCCTCGTTCTAAGACTCATTTGGTGCCCGTGACTTGTTTTATCTTTCCTATGTTGCTTACATATTTAAATTTTCCTTTTGATTTGTTTTTTATTTTATTCTATGTTTTCCTATAAATTGCCTTCCATTCTTCCTGGGATAATATCAGGCATAAAAACGCATACAGTTAAAAGGAGCAGGAAGAAGGCAAGCATCAGCAGAACTTAGCAGCCTGCCTAATGCTGCAGTCAATGAGCAGAGGAGTAGAGGAATCAGACCCTACAGCCATGCTCTGGCCAGAGTCTCGTGGGCCCCTAGACCAGAACATAACTCTCCGAGAGCAGGCTAACTGCACTTACCAGCCTGATGTTCTGGAAAGAGCATGGGTCAGCATGACCCAGCTCTGAAGAGCAGCCTTGCTACTTTCTGATTGCTACCGTGGGCCAGTCATCTAGATGTTCAGCCTCAGGTCTTCAAGACATAAAACTGACATTATAAGAACTACTTTACAGGCTGTTAGGAGGATTGAAACAGTGGAAAATGACCAGTCCCTACTATGGTCTCCATGAAAGGCAGTGCAGGTCAATACAGGACAGGATAGGGCTGTTGGTCAACATGGGCGTCAGGCCATGCCACTGGAACCAGCTTTTAGGGAGCTCTGATTACTTGCCAGATCTTGAGCTCAGGGGTGGCCATGTGTCCCCTCTTTTCATTTTGTCACAATAACTCTGTGGTAGGAGTTACCATAATCTCCGATTTTAGTAATAAGAATGCTGAAGTGGAGAGGTTTCCTGACATGGCTAGGTAATGGCAGGTCTGGGTTCGGACTGATGTCCCTCAGAACAGCATCTGCGCCAATACACACAAAGCTCTGCGGTCTCTCCTTGGCGAGCCAGGAGTCCACCCACAAGGCTTCCCACAGCCCTGAGATCCTGCATACCCAGCCCTGGGGTTCCTCTAACTGTCAGGAGGCCCAGCTTCCTCGGACCTGCCAACAGAGACTTAGAAAATGGCCTTTCAATATGAGCCGGTGGACAGATTCCCTAACATGTCCAGAGCCACACAGAAATAGTGGGACACTGCAGCTGCCCAGTTAATCACAGGATGTGCCATGTGAGAGGTCTGTGGCCCTCAGTGGCATACCGAGCCCAAGCCCAAGCTGCACAAATGCACACGTCAATCACAAATTTGTCTCAGTGACCAAGCCCCTATGTGCCCTGCGGCATTTTAAGTCTTTTGTGCCGACTTGTGTCCTTGGCACTTAACAGACATTATCTCATTATCTCACCATGACCATTTTAGTTTAGATTAGTTTTCACGATTCAGTTAATACATTCATTCGTATATTGACGCAACAAACATTCACTGATGGCCCAAGCTGGGCCGCCACTGTGCTTGCTCGGGAGAAACCATGGAGAGTAACACACAACCCCTGTCCTGAAGGATTTACTCACCTGGTAGGGTCGTGGGTCTGTCTTGCGACGATGAGACAGCCAAGGTTAACAGGGGGCAAGTCCCTTGTCCCGTGACACTCAGCTGAGATCTGGGGAGGCCATGCGATGCTGGGCCTGTGATGCTGACAGGTCAGAGGACCCCCTCTGGACTGTCACCTCCCCTCTCCACCACTCTCAGCTCATGCATGGTCACAGCGCTCAGCCTCAGCCTGTAGTCCCAGCTGGCCTGCAATGCAGGTCCAGGGCAGAGACTGCTCAACTGGCCAGTTGGAAGTGAGCTTCTCCTGGCTCTAACGAACCACTGCTCTTGAAGTGTGCACACCTGGAGGACTCAGAGCTGTCACCGCAGGTGTAATCACCTGGCTATATCACCGTGAACCCGGCTGGAAGAGTACCATCTTCCCCAAAAGGAAAAGCTTGGGTATGAGGAGCCTGGGGATTACCAGTTACTACTAGCTCACTGTCTAGACCCCTGGATTACAGAGGGAGTCCTTCAAATACCACAACAAAGGAAAACCACCATCCAGACACCTACATGGGGAATACGGGAGCAGCGCGGGTTGCCCCACCTTGGCGAAGAGGATGGAATCCAGATTCCTCTCACACCCTCTCTGAGCCCACATTCTCAGCTCTTCCTGCTTTACTGTCTTCATCTCCCACCATCCTCCTCCTCCTCCCCGCACCCCTCAGACTTACAGCACCAGTAGCTGAGACCAGACTTTCAAGCATGGCTGTAGTCTCTCCTCATTGAATGCCATCCCTGCCAACCACAAAGTGACTTTGGCAAGATGCCTTACCTCCCTGTGCCTCCATTTCCTTCTCTGTAAAAATGGAAAAATGGAAGGAACCATCTCAAAGGGTTGACATGAGAATTAAACACTACCTTTCAAGCGCTTAGGCTATATCCTGGCACCTAGAATGTGCTAGACAAGTGTGAGCTATTTGGTGACTAACCTTCCTTCAGGTGTGTGCTCACCGTCCCCTCCTTGATGAGGTCCTCCCTGGATGCCCCAGTCTGGACCACCCTCCCCGTGCACCATTTCTTAGCACCTCTATCTTCATATCATAGTATTGATCACAGCCTCTGTCTCTATATTATTGTTTCAAAATCCATGTATGTGTCTCTGGACCTCACCCACAGCAGTGTGAACATCGTACATAGCACAAGGCAGATACTCCTCAAGGCAAATGAATGAATGAATGATTTGGTGAATCCTAGTCGGAGAGACTTACATTGTGGTTACTGAAGTTTGAAAGAAAGCATTTTTGTAAGTCCGTGATCTGAGTGTTGCCTCATCCAGTTCTGTATTTTGCCCCTGATCCCATGTGAAGGGTCCTTATGTGCTTTGCTATTGAACTTTATCCATGGGCAACCAGACAGGGTGGGAGGGAGCACTGAGCCTTTTAAAGAGGAGAGAGACAAAACCCGATGTGTGCCGTGGGAAGAGCACTCTGCCTGCAGAGTGGAGAATGGGTTGGGGAAGGGGCCAGCTGGGGCAGAAGAAGAGCTGCCATGGCTCAACGTTGGCTGGGGGAGGGCCAGCATGCTGGGGAAGGGACCAGGGTCCCCAGGACCATGCCGAGGAGGCCAGGGGCTCACATGGGTGGTATCTTGCAGGATCCTGGAGCTGCAGGACACCGGGGACCTCGATGTGCTCAAGCAGAAGTGGTGGCCACACATGGGCCGCTGTGACCTCACCAGCCCTGCCAGTGCCCAGGCCAACGGCAAATCCCTCAAGCTGCACAGCTTCGCTGGGGTCTTCTGCATCCTGGCCATTGGCCTCCTCCTCGCCTGCCTGGTGGCCGCCCTGGAGCTGTGGTGGAACAGCAACCGGTGCCACCAGGAGACCCCCAAAGAGGTCTGTGCCCCACGTCCTGCTTCCCCTTTCTGCAGCCTGGAGGCAGGAGAATCCCATGGGCAGGGGTTTCATCCACTTACTATTTACCGGAGTCACTTGTGTGCACACAGCCATGTTTTATGCGGGGGGGTTGGGGGGTGGGTGGGTAGGATGGTGGTGGTGTTTCAGTTCGATTTTAAAGCAAGAGAACAAATGGAGGGGATGTTTTGATGCTTGAACGGAGGGCCAAGGCACCAGCCGTGGCCACTAAAGTCCTGTATTTATCTATAGAGCGGGTACAGCATGAGCAGCGCCAGAGAGCCCTTCCCTACCCTGCCCCGCCCATGTGCCTCCCTGACCTGGAGAGAACAACTGTAGGGTAAGAGAGGAGACCTCCTTCCTTCCTGGTTCTCTTGGCTTTCACAGCAAGGGCCACAGGGCTCTGCTCTTCCAGCATGCAAGTAGGGACCGGCCCCTGCCTCTCCCAGCCTCCCTTCCTCCCTTTCCTCCCTCGTCTTCATAGGGCCCAGCCTGTGCACACCCAGCACAGGGAGCACTGAGGCTTTGTCCAGACTCCGGGTCCTGGCACACTTCCTGCCTTATGTGTGCTGACCATGAGCTGATTCTGCCCATGACACTTCCTTCCATTGGGTTTGCTCTTCTTCAAGCTCATTTTGTTTGTTTGTTTTATATGAAGGCTTCACTGAGGCAGCCTGGAGTCAATTCCCCAAGGAGGGTGGCACGGAGGGCCACTTGGCCGTTTGATATTCTGCCAGCAGAACCCTGCACACAGGCACGGAGGCATAAGCCCAGCCATAAGCCCACATGGTAGGGCTGCCACTGTGTGCTACATAGACCTCAGCTGCTTCTGAACGATCATCAGCAGATCATGTCAGTAACAAATAGGTGTAAAGTTCAAAGAGGCAGCAAGGTAACCAACCCCAAATCCGAAGAGGCAGCGTCGCCATGGCCACCATCTCTGCAGCCTAGAGAGACTGGTTGGCCACAGCCCATAAATCAGTCTGTCATGGAGCCCTTGGCCGGGTGGGGGTGGGGACAGACTCTCCATTCAGCGGGCTCTCTGCCATCGCGCTGAGCTTTTGCTAGAAGGACCTTGCCGTTTGACTCAGTGTGTTGGAAATGTTCTGGGGGCATCCATCTTCCTCTTCTGCCTTCTCTGTACCTCCCTGCAAGGAAGTGCCAAATCTGGGTCTCCCACAGCCTCCTCCTTCTCCTTTTCACCCCTGGGCCACAGGAGAGAAGGAGGGGTGAGACTTAAGGGAAAGCCACTGAAAGGAATGGTTAATGGTTCTGCTTGAACTTTTGGTACTGGAAATTTTTTTTTTTTTTTTTTTGTGAAAAAGTCATGGGGAGGACCTGTGAATTATTCTGATGAGTAGCTTTAAGGAAAGGCCACATATATGTCCCGTTACCAGCCTGCTTCTCACTGCCCAAGGCCATATGTACAGAAACATCAGAGTACACCCAGGGTAGGGTGGCCCTGGAGCTACTCCCAGTGGGACCAGAGAGGACCAGATCCCATTGCGTCCACTCTCCATGTTGTTGGATTTGGGTTTGGGTTTGGTTTTTCTCCAAACCCCATCAGCCATAGCCTGATTTCCTCTGTGCAAATGCCCTTGGGTCAGGGGAGCAGGAGAGGCTCTCTGGGTGGGTGAGCATCTCACCATCATGGAGGCGCTGACCTGGGATGGCATGGGCAGAGAGGGTGCCCAGGCTCAGCCTTCCAGAATGTCCCTTGTGAGCCAGTTGCAGAGAGGCCATTCTTCTCTGCATTGGGCATCCTCATCTGCTTCCAGTCATCATGTCCCTTCACATCCCGTTTAGTGTTTAGTGACAAGCCTAACCTGGGCAGCCCAGAATGAATGATCAGAGTGTGTGTGTGTGTGTGTATGTGTGTGTGTGAGAGAGAGACAGAGACAGAGACAGAGAGACAGAAAGAGATAAAAGGACAGGCATTGGGATAGATTGTTGGAGAGACATAGAAGGCAGAGGTAAAAGAGAGAAACGTAGAGAAAAACCAGGAGACCAAGGAATGACCTAGCTACAAGGAACAGCTCTCTTCTTGCCAGTAAAGCATCCCACCTTCTCTTCTGGTTTCTGCATAAGCCCAGGATCTCAGGCACAAGAGGAGAGGATGAAATACATTGGTCCTACCTAGAAAACGTGGAAATTTCTGCCTCTGCCACCAACCTGCTTCCAGGTAGGAATGAGGACCAATGAAGAGGCATAGTAGCCACCTTTCCTCCAGCTCCTTCTGGTGTTGCTAAGAAGGGCTGCATGGTAGGAGATATCCCCTCTTTTTCCTATTTTTATGGGTTTCTGATTTTTTTTTAAGATTTTATTTATTTATTTGACAGAGAGAGAGAGAGGGAACACAAGCAGGGGGAGTAGGAGAGGAAGAAGCAGGCTTCCCGCTGAGCAGGGAGCCCAATGAGGGGCTCGATCCCAGGACTCTGGGATCATGACCTGAGCCAAAGGCAGACACTTAATGACTGAGCCACCCAGGCACCCCAGTTTCTGATTTTCAAATGAAATTTCTCCCTCCCTCTTCTTCTTCCTTTCATAAATATGCCTGTGGGGTCATAGCCCGTGTCCTCAGGGATCTTGCCTCCGCAGGGGCAGATGTGGCAGAGAGGTTGACCAAAGCAGTCCTTATTGATCAGGACCATTCTCAAGTGAGCAGAGGGTACCATGGATGTACTAAAGGGCACCCAGCCCAGCCTGGGTGTGGGGGGAACACAGGGGGCAGGGGTAATTGTTAGTGAAGAGTTCTTGGGGCTTGGAGTGTTAGAAGTCAGTGTTGAAGAGTTGGTACAGATCTTAGAGCTGGAGGTGAGATCGGAAGTTTTGGCAGGGTGAACAGCATGGAGGTAAATAGTCCTCACCCCCTCCTCCCCCGCCTGGAGCTCTGGGGGCTGGAGTGTCAGCATCAGCAAGGGGATGTGAGTGGAGGAGGCTGGACCAGGGATCAGGGGCTTCCTCTGAGGGACTTTGGTACCAGGCCAAGTGGTTGGGAACTTCATCACATAGGGAATAGGAACCAGGAAGGGGTTGACACAACAGGATAATAGAAGCCTTCCACAAATAATAATGGTATTTAATCCAGAACCACTTTGTGGTACTGGTTGCCTGTGTTTTATGGAGCAACATTTGCAATTAGGTGCGAGTGTCTGGTTAATCTTAGAATGCTTCATTTTGGGGCATTGGCCATATTTCTTAAGAGCCAGAAAGCTGTCTTTGGGTGTCGGTCTAGTTGTGTTTGATGGCTTGTGCTGAGATGTCTTCAGACTTTAGACACCTACTTGAGGAAGAATAGTAATGTGCATTCAACCCCTTAATATTCATGTGGATTTGGGCTCATATTTTTTCTAAGGAATCCGACTATTATGTAGTTACCCAGTGCAGGTGAGCGCAGCAGGCTCTGTGCTTGCAGTAAAGAGCCACCCCCTTGATTTATGGGGGAAGGCATTGCTCGGAGAATAAAATATTAATGAAATAAAGATGAGAGCTGCACAAATGGGAGGTGACATGGAGAGTGAGGGATGAATCATCTGTCGCTGGGCTGGGGGCTGGGGGCTCGGAATGCTTGTGCTGCCTGCCTTGCCTGCCCTCCCCCAGGCCCTGCCTCCACGGCAGACAGGAGCCGACGGAGGTTGGGGTGGCCGGACAGCCACACAGACTAGCAGCCAGTGGGCGAGCTGCTTTCTGTGGAAGATTTGTTCCGAGGGACACTCCCTTTGGCTCCATGCCCTTCTCTGCCTCCACTCCTCTGATGCTTCTTCAACTCCATGGAGAGATTTTTCTCTCCTGTACCTACCCCTCTTCCTTTATGCCAACCTCACAGTGTTGCCCTGAGGTTCAACGAAGGAAGGTATGGAAAGGGCCATAAACAGCACCTACCCACGGGACGTGCTGAGTGAATGGCAGCCCAGGCGCTACTCCCTCCCAAGGACCTTGTGCTGGGCAGTCACGGGCATGGGGAAGACAAGTCACATCTTATGGCACCTTGTCTGTGCCAGGAAAAGTACACAGTGTCTTCTTACCTGTCCTGATTCTCTTCAAGAACAGTGGAGGAAGGCATCCTTCGCCCTGGAAAAAGGATACAGAAGTGGCCGGGACAGAACTGGAATACGAATGATGTGTCTGCCCCTGGGCCTTCCATGCGGTGTGTGCAGGTGCAGGGGTTCCTACCTACCATTTTCCGGAGGATTTGGGGGATGAAAGGTGTAAGCTGGGCTTTTTCTGGAGCCAGGATCCTGGTTCCTAGCTAGGCGTTGACATCCTCTGAACCCCAGTTTCTCTCTTCTGCTGAAAACCGAGCCTGGCCCAATGGCTACATTGCCGATATCAGACCTCTTAGCATGAGGGTGAAGATAGTGACTGTACGTTGCAGCCTTTACTCCAGGGCCTTCCAGGAGGAAGGCAGTGAATGCTTATCATACCCCAGTGTGGACCTCACAACCGGTTCAGACACCACTCCCCTCTATAAAACCTCCCCTGCTCACCTCCATGGGCTGCCTGCCCTCCCTGTGTATATGCATTCAAGCAGGCTGTGATTCCAAATTGCTGAGAATGGTTTACCTGCCTGTCCCTGCTTGGAGTCTGCTGGCGCTTCTCCACCTCTGCATTCCCATCAATTAGCCCAGTGTCTGGACAGCGGGGCCGGTGATGGATCTAACTGAAGTATTGAGTACCTTCTGTATTCCAGGGACCAAGATGGATGCTTTACCAAGAACATTAGCTCATCTGGTAGTAGGAGCTCTAAAGTGTTTATTGAATGAATGAACCAGTCTGGGCTCCTATAAAGAAAACGTTATTTATGTTAAATTGTTGTGTAATCATTGCAGCTGGATCAATGGCTTTCAATTCTGGCTGCACATCAGAGGTGATTAATCCTGGAGCTTTTTAGAAATACAGATGCTTGGGTTCCATTCCCCAAAGGGTAGTATTGGGTAGCTCTGGACAACTCTAATTTCTAAGAGCTCCACACACGCTTCTGATATCCTGCCGAGGATGAAAACCACTGGTCTACACCATCCTTCCAAGGGGAAATTGGGAACGTACAGCCTGGCATAGTGGAAAAGAGCCCAGGTTTTGGAGCCAGGCAGATGTGGACTCTGATCCTGACGCTCTACTTACCATGCAGTTGTGTGTGACCTTGAGCAGATCTCTTCACACCCCTTGGATACCTGCTACTACCACCTATGCTAGAAGGTGTTCATTAACTCTCTCCTCTTTTCGCCTTCCCTTACAAAATGTATGACTGAGCCTACCGGAACTCTTTCTCATGATGCTCTGAAAACTGCCCAGCATCTCCTGAGACCACTTCATTAACTGTTGAACTATGCTCTTACCCA